ACTAGTTGACTTCAAAATTTTAATCTGAACTAGGAAGAATTAAAATTTCAATCTGTCCTAGTTCGATTTAAAACTGAACTAGATTTTAATTTGTCCTACGACATATATATTTTTTTTCTTCGTATCGCATGCACCTTTTTTTTTACTTATTATTCATCAATATGCAAATAACACATCATTTTTCTCAATGCAATATTCTATCTAGGTCGATAATTCCAGCGGCCCGTTCCATAGATTTTCCGGCGAAAAACAATACGAGCTGCATGATAGTAATCCTGTACTTGGATTGTCGCAGTTCCTGTCGAAATTTTGTATAACCAAAAACGACGGTCATCGGATTTGGATAGAGGATTATAACCACCAAGTTCCGACCATTTTTCAGCCGATTTCAATCGCACATTATTGACCTGGATACTTCTATTCAACGTATTCGTTTGATTTTGTTAATTACGTTATATTCTATGGAAGGATTTGTTTTCTTGAACAGACACATGAACGACATAAAAAATTCGTCACTGTTTGTTTCAATGAATATCAACTTGACAATAAATATTAAGAAAAATTGTCAAAACAATTATGAAATCATCTTATCCGTTGAAAAAAAGTTTTCTTTATATTCATGTGAAATTATTTAGTGATGTTATATAATCCAAAGCAAAGTAATACAAAGTGACATTGATTTGTTGCCTAACGAGAGAAGAGACAAAAAAAAACAACCAATATTAATAATTTGGCTTTGAGTGTACAGTTCGGTGTAGTGAATTGAGTTTTAAAAGTAACACCCACAACCTCAAGTATCAATAATCTTAAATACTTTCCCCTGCAATGTGATTTTTTTTCTAGAAAAACAAAAAATTTGCTATTCATTTTTATCTAAATTCATAAACATCGGTTACCTTATTTTTTGTTTCGTGGAGAGTAAACGCAAAAAATATGGCATTTTATCTAAATATCTGTTGAAATTAAGTTCCGAATATTTCAATAGATGAGATATTGGATTTAGAGAAAATAACTGTTTGAATAATAATCAGTATATAGAGAAATATGTCTATTCTAATATACAAAGTTTAATATATTTAAATTTTAAGCTTCATAAAATATCTACATTGTATATGCACGAAACTTATAACTTGTACCTATTGTTCAATGTTTTTGCGTTAAACTATAACAAGACCAGATTAAGCATTACGTTTATCCTCTTCTTCACAATTTCTTCAAAAATTGAAAATATCAATATTGTCTGATATTATTCAAAACATTACTATACATGCGAATGATAAGCGAGAACACACTTGTCATATTGTTACATAATCTGTCAAATTAAAATATATAACACGAAGAAAAACATTGTTCAAGTCTTTCCTACATCAGATGATGTCGGTAAAGACAATATAGTTAAATTATCTTTAAAATCAATATTATCTATTCGCTTATTTTATCCTGTTCTACATCATAAAAAAAGGTTTACTGCTCATAGTCTTTGACTGATATAATCTTTCAAGGATGTCTAAATAGAATTTTGAAGCATGAAAGCTGGTCACTGATACTTCATTAATATAAAAAAATTAGAGAAAAAAAGAACACTATTTCATTCAACTTTGTAGCTATTCTATGTGAAGCGTTAGGCAAAAGTTTCATAGCTGTTAGCAATGTCTCGGTTTTACCATCATAAGAATCTTAAGATTCTGAATTGCAAAGAAAACTTGCTGTCAAATCTACAACTTTTAAAGCTATCTATTAAGATTTTCCTTTTAGTTCGCTATGCATTACGTTATAATCCTAGATTTAAAAATATGTCATTACATCGAGAAAAAAGATCTATCTAAAAACTTCAGATCGCAAATGCTCGGTTCTGTTGTGTGCTATTTCGGTAAAAAATTTTGGTCGAAAATATTGAACTAGACAACAATTATCATCGCATCAAGGATCCAAAAATATGTTTCTATGTTTTAAGGATTTCTCGTTCGAATCTAATGACTTAAATTTTGAGTTCATGCCAAAGCGTAGTTCTAGTTAGCCACTAAAACTGACCACGGTTTAATTTTTCAAAATATTTGGCGTACTGCCCACCTTTTTCACATTTCACTTTTCAAAGATATTGATTTAAGTACTTGATTTGTTGCTTTAGTATTCTTTCAGTAAGTCCTAAATCATGGAATTACACAGAACACAATATTGTCGTATAAGTCTCTGCCAAAGCACTATGTAGTCAGTTGCTGTTGCTTGTAGTTCGCTAAAAGTATATTACCTTTGTTTTTGATGAATTGGTTTTCGTAGATCTAACTGAAATTATCTGAATAGAAAGCAGAGGAAATAGTTAAAACCCTGACGGTCATTCAGATATATATTTTGCTAATATTTTCATGTATTTTCTTGTGAAATTTTCAAATTGAGTTTATTTTAAACAGCGTTTTATTTCGAAATGATTTAACAATATCATGAGTATATCACCTATTCACATGAGAAGCAGAACAGCATTTGGAAGGCTGATGAGTTGAAACACATAATCGTTAGTGGATTTTTTTATGGAAGATTTCTTCTCATTCTACGTGTTAAACATCAATAATAATTATGACTTCTTTCGTCTTATTAAAATTTAGTAAGTGAAGAATAACAGTTTTCTTTGCTAAGAAGAACATCCATAAGGTTCCATTCTCGTCAATGTAGAATTTTTTTTGTAATAAATTTTCGTTCTTTATTTTAATACAACTGTCAATATCAGTTCGTCCCTGTTCTTAAATCTATAACTAACATCATCAGATAGTTGCAAGACTATTGAATAATAAGACGATTTATAATAGACATTTTTGTTTTTATTAATCACAACTTACAAACATGATAACATAACATAATTTCGTAGTATGTAGAACTTTAAAATTTAAACTTGTGACTCTTTATATATTTGCTTTAGATTTAAACAATAGGTTTTTTGTACATTGGTTTCCAATAATTGTTCACTAGTTTGTTTTCTGTTCTTAAAACGATACGATTTGGAAAAGAAACGATTACAACGATGAATAAGTGAAAAAAATGCATGACGAAATCTACGTCCACTTATACAATAAATAATAAAGTTTGTACAAAAATTTAAATCTTTTAAAAATTCACAAAGTGAACGTACAATGAAATAAATTTCAAAAGATTCTTCTGTAAAACATAAATCAAATGGTAAACCCCATTTTGATATAATATTTATTATCGTAAATGGTAAAAAATAAACCGTAAACATTATTGTGACAATTAATAACATAAGCATTAATTGACTTTCATTTGCTTCAGATTTTGGTTTTCCGCGATAAACATGATTTGTTAAATGTCGATGTCGTCGAAATATAACTTGTTTAGCTGTATGTAATGTTATACAATACCCAATAATAACAATTGTTAATGGAATAAAACAAACAGTAAATTCAGTTATTGTTGCATTTAGTCGTCGATATTTTTGCCAACTTGATATTGGATGACAGCGTTTGTTTTGTTCTGGTGAAATGTCAATTGGTATATATAAAACGCGAGTGGAAAATATTATACTCAAAATGGTTATTAATATAATCAATATTCGAGCGCGAACTGCCGAGAGAAATTTTTTAATACGTAACGGAAACAAAACAACTAATGCACGTTCAATTGTTATTAATACTATAGTTCAAATTGATAAGGGTGTACTAGCATCACTAAGAAATATTAAACCAGTACACATAGATGGCGAATAAAATGCTTGTGACGTTTTATTTTCATAAGATAGTAATTTAAGTACAAGAACAAGTGTATCTGATATGGCCATTGACTTAATATAAACAGAAAATGACGAACAATTTAGTTGCGAATTCGTCAGAACAACAAGTAAAATTAATGCATTGGTAACCACAGCTAATATTGGTAAGGTATGAATGACCATATAACTCATTGTTCGAGAAAAAAACAATGCTGTCGAAGAATTGAGCAACAAAGTATTTGGATCACATAGAAAACGATTCATCTACATAATTCAAAACAAAAGTTGTACGCACTAGAAGTTTTTCATTGTTAGCTTACTCCATAAAGTTGTGCCGATTTATTCGTTAAAGAAAACCACTTTTCGCTTTGCTATTATAAGAAAAACATGAAAAGTAAACGAAGCATGTTAATACATGCAAAACAATCAGTAACATGTAATATGCAATTGAATAATCACGGTATAGCTATACTTAATCAGTTTAAGATTACCATGAGACTACTATCAACATAATTAGCATTTTTACGTTTAGCAGAAAACTGTTAATAAATTTCATACACTTATTAAACTGTCATGAACGTTTCCAAATTCTAATTGTATACTATTTAAGTAAAGTTTCATCTTCGACAAAGATTGGTTCAAACTAACATAAAAAATGTACCAATCAATTAATTGAAAATGATGAAGATAATGAAAAAAGACAAGAACAGAGTATATATTCCTTTTTTTAATAGAATTGTACAGAGATAGAAAAAACAAAAAACTAAACTTAATCAATAAGGAGTTTGAGCTCTTTTCCATTGCACAAATACAATAATTTTTTCTTTAGTTTCTTTGACAAGATATTTTTCACAGATGAAACGACATATCAATAATAAATAGTTAAAATTAAAATAAATTTGTAAAGCATTATCAACTGTGTTAAGTTCATGATGCTATCATGAAACATTATTTAAAAATTAAGTTTACGAATCAGTAAATATTTTGAATAGATCTTGAAATGTCCAGTGTCTTTTTTGTTCAAAGATTACAAAATATTAAGAAAGTAATTAATTATCATTTTCTTATCCTTATTTTTACTTTGTATCCTATCTCGAGTACCATTTTTATATAACTAAGATAAATAAATATATTATCGCTATGTATGAATGAGTTGCAACATTTTAGTACGATTGACACGAAAAACTGAAAGTACATCTGAACGATTTCTAACTAGTATATTTTATTACACTCTGTCTATGCCATGTAGCAAAAGTTTCCCACACTTTATTGTCTATTTACGAAGATATGATATATTACAGCGTAGATGCACCATTGATAGATCTATTTAATAGGAAAACCAGCAGTAATTCCGTATTGTAAAACAACTTTACATTTGTTTGAAATTAATCTAGAACAACTTTTCATAGTAAAATGAATCATATGGTCTAAGATACTACTCATTTTGACTCACTTTTGATTGAGATGTCGCATGCAGAATGTGAGTCTATATCTCGTCGTATAAAGTAAGTTTTTTCCTAACAGCAAAAGATAGATGGCTGAAATTCTTATCCGTTATACAACTCTGAGATCTATATTGATGATAAAAAATTCAGTGAAAACGAATAAATTGTTTCAAAGTTAATAGCGACCTAAGTGAAAAAAAACCGAGTCTACAAAGTTAGTAAAATTTGAATTTTTGGAAAAATATTGCTTTCTTTCAATGGAGAGGGATGCTACTCACAAGTAAATCCTTTTGACCAAGTTTTTTCGGGTCGATATTTTTTTGATCAGCAAATCACTTACCAGTGGCAACATCAAAGAGACGAATAAAAAAACAATTACTCAATCAAATAAGTGCCATATCATCAGCGACTAAAGCATCTCCGTACATCTACATTATTAATTAAAAGAAATATTTAAATCAAATACATGATTCTCTCGTTACAAATATTATTCACATAGCACCGATCTCCACGCTCGAAGCCTACAGACACCAGTATACTCATATTCATACACTCTTACTCAATCCTCATTTTCTATTTTCATGCTCAACTTGACTTCAACATTTTTGTGTTGTGTCCCACAGTTATACTGAAATTCATCATTACTCCAATCTAATAAGTTCATCTTGATTATATAGCATCAGAATAGTCTATTTTCATTTATGAGAACATTTTTTCATCTTAATTGGCACAAATTTTCATTGATTTGTTGATCAAATCACTAATTTTTTTGATCGATTCGCACTTACGTAATGCTTTTCCGTCCCTTGAAGCTGTAGCTAGACGAAGAAAATAAAAACGATAAGGTGTGTCTACACGAAAATTAATAAATATCTGTAATTACATGCTTGAAGCAATCGGATGTGAAAAGAAAGACAAAGAAGTACAAAAGATATATTGTTTGAGAGAGAATTTCAAGCTGTAGAAAATGAAACACTAAAAATATACTTTTTCTCTCTCTTTTATACTGAGGAAATATTCTTTTCCGTCCTGTTTATATAAAATACGGTGTTTTCAGTATAAGAATGATAAGTTGTTGACTATACAAGAAAAAGAGCTGAAATTTGGTGTGACAATGAAAGACGTAGAGAGAAGTAACCCATAAGAAAATTGTCAAAATCAGACAAGGAGGAAAAAAACTATTACACAAATACGTCTTATGTAGCAATCATACGAAAAAATAGCAATTCATTTATGTGTATTGTTTGCATTTTAATTATACTTCCACTTTCGTTAAAAATATCAGGTATTCTCTTTATTATCAACAAGTGACATATACTTTCTAATTATTTACAATTAACTTGAAAGTATAATAGTAATAAACAAAAAAGATAGATGTTTACCTAAAAGTAGAATTTTTACGCATTTGAAAACCAAAGATTAATTTTGTTTCTTACCAGAAATGAATATAATATTTAAGTTTTAAATATTATAGGATTATTTCTTGTTTTTCTTATTCAGCAAATATATTAATTTAGATTAATATGATGGATTATTTAACATATCTTAGTATTTACGTAATGTTTACTAATATTCAGATACATGAACACATTTGTTATTATAGTAAAAACGAAAATATCATTCAGCTTTTCTTGTCCATATAACTGTACTCATATTATAGTGTAACTTGCATGGACAAAAAGAGTTGAATGGTCTGTTTTCTTTTAGTATAAAAATCGACAACTTCGTCTATCTAAATTAGAGACGGTCGAGCTAAGAGAACTGATTCAACAACTTAGCCCACGCAATATTTGAATATGAAGCAAAATTTGCTAGTTGTTTGGATATTATATAGTTGGGTTGACCTAACCGAAGCTCCATAGGCTCCGTCGCCTCAGGTCTAAGAAGTGGAAGTATCAGATTGCTCTTTATTATTATATTGAATATACGATCAAAACAAATAATGACAAGTTTATTATAACTTCCGTTTATCCTCGTTTTAGTAAACATTCACTTCTACTGTTCTTATTTGTTCTATTATTTAACGTGCTTTATAAAGAAAACTTTGTACAATATATTATCTATATTTTCCATTTGATTAATTGTAATTTTTTCTCTTAATTCATACCTGGAATGATATCAAAGGTTGCATCGTAACAGTGAAGTTTTGATCAGATGTCTAAATGGTAGAATCAATAATAGAAATGTTATTTGCAAACTTTATTATGAAAAACTACACTAATCAAAGGTCAAAAACTATTTCTGTGAGGTAAAAAAATGGTTGTTTTTCTATACAAGTTTTCCTTCTAAGTGATTCTACAATTTTAACAGGTAAGCGCAGGAAGTTCTGCTATTAACAGAAAAAAAAATTAACGTCACTTCTCTGTTTACGCTGTAAGTTTAGTAGAAAATCGGAAATAGAAAAGCTTTGATATCTAATAGATTCTCTCCAAGGGCTAGTCTTATAATAATGTGATCTTTAAGACAGATAACGAAATAAACAGAGAGTATCACAGGGGTATTCATGCTTGAAAATCAAAATAGTCTAACAAACACTGATTGACACCGGTATTAATCGAAGAAGTTTTAATAAGTGATCGAAGCTTGTTTTATCAGTCTTATAGAATGAATCATAATTAACGATATGATAAAAAGAAATAGAACATCTTTGTTTCGATTTGCTGGAACTGGTTGATTTTTTTTTTCTCAGTGACCGAATCTTATTTATAGTTTTTTTTCATATAAATAGTGTAAACCAATATTACTGTCAAAGTATGTTTTTAATCTCACCAAAGAAATGTCACCAACTGTCAAATAAGAAAATAACAGATAAAACGGTTCATGGACAATTATCAGTTGTCATCCAAGGAGATATTAGTAGGACATCAAAACAAACTTTATTCATGCAAAAAGAAGACAAACTTTAAGTAATATAACCAGTTTAAAAATAAAAGGTTACAAAATTTTGAATTTTCAAAAATGGAACGCTATTTCTTTTGCAAGGAAGTTGTTATGTCAAGAGCCACTATAGAAGGTGTGAATTTCAACATTTAAACTCACAATTACATAGTTTTGAAAACTCAATCTATTTACATTAATGTAATTCACATAGATTTCGGTTTGTTTTACAAGTGCTTCTTATCTATTTTACTTACTTGACAATTGTTAAAATTTTTCGAATGCAACAAAAACTAAGAATTGACAGTTACATTCGTTCATGTTACTCAAGTAACAAAAAAGCTCTTTGTAAGTTTCTGCGACTAACGAACAGTCAATCTATTGAAATAAAATGAAAAGACTGATTTATAAAAATATTCTCTGTTTAGACAATACGTATCAATTATAAATAATCTATATTCTATAATAATTGCTATTCAGTAAACAAGGAAGTGCCTCTTTTTATGTGACAAGTAGACTATTGGCCTATTTTTTTTCTGTGCTGCTCGTTTCTTCGTGTCGTTAATCAAATTATTTTTTGAAAATAGAGAGGTTCATTCTAAATAGGCTTTTTTTCCTTTATCTATGGAACTTTTATCTACATCTTGGATCGACTAATAATATCTTTTATCTGTCTTCATAGCTTCAGAGCATTTTCTCAAAAAGCTTTCTTCATTCTGTAATAATTTGCCTTAATGATGACTAAAGAATATCGATATAATCGACAAACATTTTGTCACATATATCTAGTATTCTAAGAATCGTGATTGGTTTTGAACATAAAACCTATTCTTATTAAAATTTATTTATTCATAAAAAAAACACTGCCAT